TTTGCCGAACTGCACTTGGAGATTTGGTTTTCCTATTCAACTTTACTGACGCTCGGTAAATCGAACGCCAGACACGTCCGTAGCTTACAGTCTTGGTGGGCAAATAATGCACAGGACATGACTGGCAGCTCCAATCGCATTCCCATCTGGTACACTCGCTCTATCATGCTCCAGGATCTGCCTTAATCGCGCCCACCCTCGAGAAATATCTAAACGGGAATCGGAAGTATTTTGTGCTCGAGGCATCATCACTTGGTAGGAACAAAGAGAGAATGCTCAAACGAATATTGTGAGTGTGAGGCTGAGTGAAAATTCAAATTGACTGATGAAAAGATTCGTAGGTTGGCCACAACCTAACACGAATCATCCCAGTTTCTATGCCGTCGTTTGAGTTGACTATGACTTCTGTGAAATTTCCTCCTTTTGTTCGTCAATTGTAGACATCATCAGAGCTGGATCCCATTCTTGCAAAAGCGTCAGGCTAACACTGAGGCATGAAGAGTTTACAAGAATAAGCTCCAGTCCCGATGATAATTAGCATTTCAAGAATGGCAGTTCAATCCGGTAGCAACGGAAATTGATTGTTTCCTTCTAGTGAGATCAACCTAAAATCTTCATCATCATGCAATTTCACAGTAAATTATAGACTATATATCAAATTCCTGTTACATTTCGCATGATTTAATAAGTAATAAACAAAATTATCGTTTTAATTAATTTGATTGTTGGGGTGACTTTCATTTCGTATGAAAGTGCATGAAGAAGAGATTCGTTGGTCGATCTCACCAGAGGAAGACGGATAAATATGGTTTTACTGCAGCCGTTTGGCTTTTATACGACGTTCAGGTTGACGTAGTCCACGAGACCTCTTCCCTAGTTTCGGGTGAAAAAACGGGCTGAGCTTTCGTCCATTAAATAATGGACATCATCAGAGCTGGATGTCATTTCTGCAAAATTCTCACGTTAACACTATGGCTAGAAGACCATCCGGCTCTATCTTACCTCTTATATAGACTCAATCAAGCCAAAAGAAAATTAAAAACCTATATAAGTCGTTAACTCTGATTTATGACCGGTATTGAGTATATACGCAACAGGTACACATACGCAAACGCACACATTCGAGCAAAAGTAGCAGGACCAGTATGGAAGATAATTAGCCAAACCACTCTATATCCATCTGTCTAGGTAAGTAAGATGGAGCCGGATAGTGTTCTTGCTTTAGTGTTGACGTGAGACTTTTACAAGAATGACACCCAGCTCTGATGATGTCCATCGAAGTTGTTTGACCTTGTTTTCACAACATGGTCATATTGGTAGGAAGACTTATAGAAACGCACCTTGTCCAGAGTCCATTGTATTCATGATCATTTCCAAAGTTGGATCGTGGATGTGTAAGATTCCCAGACGTTTTTTCGGCATCGTATTCGGCATCGACCGTTACTAAGGAAATTGAATATCAAGGTGATAACAAAGGAGAAGAAAACACTTTTCGTCAGTCTGCCGACGCAACGGGAGAAGGCTGGCAAGCTGGATTGCTCGGGAGTAAATTATATCAAAAGCGGCATCTGTAAGCAGAAATATATCGGTGAAACAGAAGGAAAATCGGGCTAAGAATCAAGGAACATCAAAGACTATGCCAGAACATGGATATGGAAAGATCAAAAATAGCGGAAAACATTGCACTAACAGGAGACGAAATCAACTGAAGGCTGGCTGCACATCATGAAAATACGAGAACACGCAGGATCCGAGAGGCCATCAATATACTGATCGAGAGAAATCTAATGAACAGGAGACTTGAAGAAGGCAGGATCAGCGAAAACTTTGCATATTGCCTAAACAAACTCGGAGAAGACCAGGCAACAGAAATATCAGCAAAAAGAATACGACTGGATCAAGGTAACATCTTTAAGTTAGGAAAATAAATCGCAAGGGGACCAGAAAGGAACAATCAAAAGCCAAGAGGAGACGTCTTTAGTAGAAACACAACATTCGTGGGTTGGCACTCAAGAGACTAGGACATAATATGTGATAGATTTGGTATTGGGGATAGAAACAGGATTGACACAATGGCGACTAGAGCTACTTGGCTACCAGTCCTTCAGCACCTTACACGAAATAGCGTAAATACATCTCATATTACCAACAATAGACGTATTTGATCATATACGTGGTGCATGAAGCCAAGGCTTGACCATGAGAGTTACTCAGGCTCTTTAGCGTCAATTTAGTCTCCCAGAGGCAGAGAGGGGGAAATAACGTCTCAAGTAGTACAGATGGGGTGACAGGGGTCGAGTGAAATACTTGAACCAGGGAGATAGCAGAAGGATCCTATGGGGCAAAAGGGAGACTGTGATATGACCTGTGGAAGGAGGACAACGTAACAATAGGGCAGACTCTGATCCATTTTCCCAGCACAAGGGTGAAGGGCGGTGAGGGGCGTGAGAAAGCCAGCGTGGGTGTGGAGAGTTGCCATGACCTCTGCTCAAAAGGACGCACCATACCACATATAAATAAGCAAGTGAAAATTGTTATTCTGAAGGCGTGATGCTAGGATATAGGATAGGTGATTAGGCCAGGGCAGACGTCTGGGAATGTACCACGTCCACGGTCCGACTCTCGAAATTATTATGCATACAATGGACTCCGGTCTAGTTGCGTTTCTTTAAGTCTCCCTACCAATATGACCAAGTTGTGAAAACAAGGTAAAACAACCTCTATACAACGAACGGAGACTGCGACGATACAATAGGCCACACCAACTTGGTCTTCATACCTTCCAATAAATTATATATATTCAAGCAAATGTAAAAACGCCTGGTCCTCAATGTTTTGTCTTAATCTGTATATCTGACATCTTCGCAGTAGGCTACTGGTTGTTAATCTTACTCTTTTTTAGAGGCCAAAGACCTTCGCCAGACGGGGCGCTTAACCAGGACATGCAGAATGAAGCCCAAAATGTAAGTGATCTCCTAGCCCCCTGCCCTTTTGCACAAAGGTTTTACTGATGCATTGAGAGCTGGCTACCGTAGCAACACATCGGGCTCAGGCCTCTCACTAAATGGTTTGTGACAAAACTGGAGGAAAACAGATAGTCAACAGAACAGTTACCTCTCGACACGGCTCGACAATTTTGAGCGTACGCCTTGGATACTAAAATAGGCAGTGGTGACAGACACCTTGTTTTTGACCTCGGTGGAGATGACTCTCTTTTAGTCAAAGTTCGTCTTGAGGAAGAAACCTCTCGTGACCAGATGAGGGGTCATTTTTTCGCATATTTCCACTTAAATACAAGGCGATTTGTAGCGAAATCAAAGAGTATGCTTCCTAACCGCCAGCGGCCTAAATTTTGCACTCCTATACTTCAATTTCTCATAGGAAAGATAGATGAAATACCTTCGTTCGTATATAAGTAGGGTTTTGATACAAATAGTAAGTCAGTTGTATGAGATGTATTCACTCTATTCCGCTAAAGGTGATAAAGGAGAGGTAGTTAAATTTTCCACAATGATATGAGTAGAATTGATAGTCCGATTAAATTTCACATAAATTTGCTTTCCCAAAAGAGGTATCATCCAGGCAGGAATGGACTGGAATTTTGACCTAGAATTGGCCATATCAACATCACCAGCGGGACTCGAACAATAATAGTGCAGCGTGAAATCTCGAAACGTTAACCCCCACGGCACATTGCAACGAGTGCACTTAATTTACAGAGAAAATGTGAATTTCAGGGAAGGCCAAGCATTTTCCACTATGACATTCTGCAGATGATGTGATGTGATGAGATGAGATCTAATTTTCGGAAATATCACTACCCATACTTTGATCACCTTATGTAACCTAGGGTGACTACGCTCTTACTCTATAATTACTACTTATATCGAATATAACTCTTGCTTTCAGATTTATCGACACATCTTTTGGCGAAATTTATTAAATATGTTAGTGAAGCAAGTTTACGGTCATGTTGTGTGTTACATGCACTAAAATTGACGATTTTGCCATAGCCCCCAAAATGTTTTAGCTTTCCTCCCGGTGTGCCTCAAATGTAGTCTTTACGATTTCCGAGGCTATTGCATATACCTCTAAATCACGCCACACCCGTTCAGAGCCGACAATCCTCGTACACGTTCGTAGTCCGGAATGTTGACTTAAATCACTTTTCGGACACACTGTGGGATCAGTATTTTGACGAGTGTGTTGTCACGACTAATCGTTTTTCATGTTAACGTTATGATAATGTACACAACCGATAAATGGGATAGCAACAATATTTTTGGCATACATTAGAGTTCCTCGGGCTTCATTTCGACTTGGCGACCAGCCCGTATTCTGGAGGCCCACTAGATACTTAACCGAAAAGTATATACCTCCATTTGCTCAGACCACTAATTGACACTTTTTCCGAGGGCTAAGTCTATTGTCTCCGGAAGCGAGAAATAACGATGTGAGCTAGGGCATTCCTGCTTTGTTAGAACGCTAAAACGGGAATGATAGTAGAAGAGAACTCTTACGGAGCTGGCATTACCAACCCTTTAATGACGAGAGTCGGAGGGGATGGCGCGTCGTTTATATGAAAACCATCCCCTATAAAAACTGACGCCATGTGTTGTCATGTTTTAGTCAAGGACACAGAGTTTTGTTGGTTATTATAAGGATTTCTAATCAACTCGGGCTGCGTTTATGAGTTGATCACTCCGACAGACAGCTAGTACCAAATTAGAGCAGAACAGAACGACTCAGTCCGCCGAGACATCATCAATTCGGTTCCAATGAATTATGTCATGTAAAAGCTCATTCTCCAGTAATAAACCATATGAGAAGGTGGAGATGACAAGCAACTCCTTCAACGTATTTTTGCCTTAACAATGCCAACATCTCCTCCTTATGTGACCTGTTTAAGGGATACGGGTTACAAAAAAGGTGTGATGATTAGTTTTATCTCTTGTTACAACCACCCAGTCTGACCCGCTTATGCCGCATTAAGTTTGTATATGAGTAAGGCGGGCGTGGAGAGCACAAGTCCTGAACCAAGGAAATCTTCGGGGGTTTCGATCTTTTACCAGTTTTTAGACTTCCGGTTCAGGCATAGTTGTTCCTTTAAGGCCTCCCAACTTCAACAATTATTTGTTCTATTCTCCTGCCCATTTTGAGCACTGAACTTGGAGCCCGGGTCTTGCTGGCCCACTGCAAGTAGGACACCGACCTCTGAGCTGAACAGTCTCTTTGAACAAAAGGTAAGTTACATTCGCGTTGTTGATTCGGTCAAATCTGTTTTATTCCGGGGCGGGAGGGAGCCGTCCTATTGGTATCGCATGTAGGTGTCTGTTGAAAATGTCTTTGGGCGGACAGTACCAGGAAGATGGCCGTTTGCCTTGCTGACTTATCCTTCCCTCACATTATACCCCGTCCATTTTACGCTACCAATCCAGCGGGTCGTCTGCGTTGTCATTGAGACATTATTCCCCTATGGTGGCTGTGCAACTCCAGCAACCTCTGAAGCAGCCATTTGGAAATATCTATGCCATATGAACGCACACAAACACATGCATACCTCTGGAAACTTTCGAAGAGAATATTAAAGTATTAGAAAAATAAATACAATGACTTTATCTCCGTCCATACAATTGTCATGGGCCCAAATTTAAGCATGGCCATTTTTCTTTACTATTAGTTTCTGGCTTTTCCTTTTCCAAATACACCTTCACAGTCTTTGCTGGCCTTTTGAACGACAGCCTAAGTGAGGAGAGCCGAAGAGTTTAGCAAAGAGGGTTTTTTTCCGTCTTTCGACGAGACGTAAGTTAAGACCAAGCATGCACCTCCTCTTCGTTGTTGCTGATTAAGTTACTGGGGCAATGCCTAAACAGGCGTCTATCAACGACCAGATGCTGTAGGGACACTGACTGGGAGAGTGGAGGAAGGGAAGATTTATTTTAAGTCTCACAGTAAATAGGATAAAGATGCGAAAAATTAGTTAAACAGGCCTACTTTATAAGTCTTCTTGGTTGGGCAATTGTAGATTTTAATCCTATTGCCGTGCCGATATTCTGATTCCACGCTTTTACAGACAAATAAGGAACCGCAGCGCATTTACAAGGTTGTCTTCATCGGAGACTCCTCTGTTGGCAAGTCGAGCATCATCCAAGCAACCACTGGAGGAGGCTTTTCGGAGTCAATCAAGAGCACAATCGGCCTCGACTTCCGTGTCAAAACCCTCAACTGCGACGGCGTCAACATTGTGCTACAGCTCTGGGACACGGCCGGACAGGAACGGTATTCAAATAAGCATAACTTTATAACCATTGCTTCCCTTAATGACAGGCAATCAAATACTTGCACCAATATTGCTTGGGGCCTATGTCATCTGTGAGTTGAGTGGCCCGTTTGTTTGGGTGAAGTTGAGTCGATTTGGGTCTGAAGCCTTCGGAACTCATTTTGACATGTGATCAAGTCAAAGAGTTTAAATTATGTTCTACATACACTATGGCATCCTGAGGCTAATGAATGGAATAGACAAGTTGGTTTTTACCTAAGTCTTGGTCCGAATAGGAGCCAATCCACACTGGCTCAAACCAGGATGACCCCAATGCCTCGTAATAGGGGGGACAGTTTGGGCCTCTTTTATTTCACAGGTTGATCTCAAAGAAACACAACATGGTCTGAGGCGGTGAGTCGATTTTCGCAGTCTGTATTTTCAGGACTCTAGTCAAGATGCGTCGTTCAAGAGAAATTCGGCTTACTCTGACGAGTTTGCTTCTTCCTACTTTTCAGCCTAGGCTTGGCGAATTCTTCATTTGGCCGCCCCAGAGTGACTGTGCTGGAAGCACTCTGCATCACTCTACATTGTTCTACATGGCCTGGCACAAGTGCCATGAACTTGCCCGAATATGGCGGCATCAAATGGGACTTTTGAATTTTGGCCAAGAGGCAGCCTTGCAAGTATTTGCAGAAGTACCTTGTGACGCAGATGTCGGAGACCCAAGTTGTCGGGCCTAAAAGCGATCCTAGCCAAGAAGAATCGAAGAGACCTATTAATTTTGACCTTTAATCACCCTTCGCGATGCATCCCAAAGGAAGATTACCATCAGGGCATGACTAGAGTTTCATCCTCGTCCCGGTCGCACCAGCAGCCGGAGTGGAGCTTGAAAGGCATATCTGCAGTTTGAAATTTAGGCATACAAAAATAGCTCTGTTGAGTTGCACGACCACCATGACCTTCAGGACAAAACAAGCCTCTCGCAATCCACTTTTGGTGGTGAAATTCGTACCGACAGAAAACGAGCGATCGCCAACCTAGTAAGCTGTGCTGCAGCTAGCGCCAGTTTGAAATGATTATACATTATTGCTATAAAATCTTCTTCTTGACTCAATCTTAACGTGAGACTTTTGCAAGAATGAACTCCAGAACTGATGATGTTCGCGATATGAACTAAAGCTCAGCTCGTTTCCCCACGAAACGAGGGAGGATGTCTCGTGGACTGTGTTACTCTGAATGTCATATTACAACCAAACGGCTGTGGTGCAAAAGAAATTAGCCATCGCCTTCTATTGAGATTGACCTTCGAATCTCTTCATTCACTTTTATACGAAATGAAAGTTTCACAACATGGCTATCTTAAGAGATTCATCGAAACTCGTTTTTTCTTCGTATATGGTAGAAAATCCGCCCAAGAGCAAGTGAAGCGAAGGCTTACTCTCGCATAAAAATAGGGCGGCACTTAATTTAAACTCTCATGAAGTCGCTAAACCCTGGGAACACTGAAACCAACTGGTCAGCTCAAGTCAAATGATTGTCCGGAAACCGCAAATCCCTGTGAGTGTCTCCGATTAATGGTGAGAGGCATGGATACAAAATCCTCATCCTCCTGGCACTAGTCTTTAGATTAGCATCTCTGAGCATTTTACATTAGCTTTATTAACTTGAGGAAATGAAACGACACGCAAAGTTTAATGTTGGTGAATACTTTAAGATTTCTGGCAAGATGTTCTACATGAGACAGCCTAACAAGTGAAATATTCTGTCATGTGGGAAAATTCACGACAACATAAATGTAGACATAATGGAGCATAAAGTGATTAGTTAATTTAGATCAGAAGTAAGGCTATAGTGGGTCGCTTTTGCAACATAAGTGCCTATAGGAATAGTCTGATCTTGTCTTCGTAACTTGGTCGTTTGGGAGGATGACACCTTAGGACGCACCTGATC